GAGAGAGAGAGAGAGAGAGAGAGAGAGAGAGAGAGAGAGAGAGAGAGAGAGAGAGAGAGATAGTAATAATTACTGAAATTATTTATTTGCGAGGCATAAGAAAACAGTAATATTATAGTTAAGACCGATAAGACACATATATAATGACTAACATATGTGACAAAAAATAGTGTAAAAATATATATTATTAAATACATACATAACATATATGATTTTAAATATATATATATATAAAGCAAATTTAATATGTATGAGTGAGACATACAAATTCGTTGGCAAATTTATTTTCAAAAATACACACATTTATTGCTTTAATATATTGCTCTACAAATTAATGTTTCACTGAATACTTGTGGTAAACATTATATATATGATGTGTTTCTCATAAATGATACTATATTTAAAAACTATTTTTTATTACAAATTACTATAAAAAACAAAAGGAAATAATTTTTAAAAACTCCTTACAATCAATGACTTTATATACTCTGTATTTATAAATCATATTTTTTCTATCAGTGACAAAGAATAAAGCCTTATATTATTTATATAATTTTGTTGTTGTTTTAAATTTAATTAAACTTATTTTTAATTATATATATATTTAAGAGTTAGTTAATATTATAATAAAAATAAATTGTATATTGATATTATAAATATTTAAAAATAACTCAAAATTACAATTAAATTAATATTTAATAAAGCATTTCATATATTTATTATTTGAATTTTGTTTTGAGATAATATTATTGAATAGAAACTGAAAGTTTTTACACACAAAACAAAAGTCGATTCACTTTTAATATATATATAGTAAGCCATTATTTTTGTGATCATAAAAATAACATATTTTTCCCAATATTTTTTTGTCGGCTAATATTAAGTCCTTTGGTTTTAAGTCATTAGTCACTGGTATTAGTTTTAGTACAGAAAAATTCTCTATTATACACATATATATCATGTTATGTGTGTCTGTTTGTATAACTTTTCCCAAAATATATCTAATATATATGGTGTTATCGGACAAACTACTCACGTCTAAATTACATTGTTTTACACCAAAAAAACTAAAAAACTTTTAGGAAATCAACAAAAGAGAGATGAGTGGAGTTAGAGAGCAATACTGGGTGTCGATCACTGAGAGAGAGAGAGAGAGAGAGAGAGAGAGAGAGAGATGTGGTTTGAAATCCAAGAGTCATAAGAGGACTCATATACTATGTCTCTAATTGTATGGCTATCACTACTGATAAGTTGTGGTCAAAACTATATGCCCTTCTCATAGTTATATACTGTATATATACACACTCTATATTAGACGCCGCAGTGTTGTTCATAATTCAATGGGATTACTGGTTAGACAGACATTAGCTTTGGAAACAACAATATTATCGGTTGTCTTACGTGACCACAACTCCTGTTATATAATACGAGATATTAAGTCTACACATAAAGTGTAAAACGTGAACAATAAAAGACATTTCCTCCAAATCAAGACATGTGTTGTCCACTAAAATCACAAATTAACTCTATTTTCTATCTTAATCTCAATTGTCGGACTCAATACTCTATTGACTAACCATATCTCATATCATTATTAGTATTACAAAAAACACAAATTATCAAAAATTGTTTGACACATTTAAATAAACATTTTAAAACATATTTAATATATTTAGATGAAAATAAGCAATAATTGAGTGGAAATTTTTGATGGAAAAACTGGTATCACTTGATATCAATTGAATCCATAGCTTAGTGTTGATCACTGTGTGAACTAACGAACCGAACACAAGCCATGTATTCCTTAATTGACTTCAATTTCTCGTGTATTACAAAACTATAGCAATAGACTAGAGTGTAGTCGACAATAGTATCTAACGGTACAATAAAACAGTACAATTGTGATACCAGTGCCCATAGGGCTCATGTGTGTGTGTGTCTCACCGGAAAATAACTTCATTGAGTCCATGAATTGTAACAATTGTTGCAATAGATTTTTTTCATAAGACACAAATCAGGCCTTTATATAGTATATGATGCATGAGTTATGCAAAACCACATTATATTTTGGAGTAATAAGACCTCAAACCAAAGTGACTAATGATATGAGATATAAAAATGGCTTAATTAGGCGAAACACATGAAAATGTCGGTACTATTAGCTAACAAATAAATAGCATTTGTGCCGCAAATCACGCTTTTCATGCACTTATTTGTAGTACAATAAATACAATGCAATGTTTTTTACTTAGTTTTGTAGCCACAGAGAAATTTCAAAACTTTTTTTTTATAACTAATTTAAAACTATTTAAATATATACGATATATGATGTTTATTCTCAATATAACTCAATTCATTAATTAAATATTTAATATTATTTTTTGATGTGTTTGTGTCTCTCTTTCTAAGTGATTGATAGTGACTTTGTTTGAGGACAAGTCAAACAATGACAGCGGACCACAAAATAGTGAATCACTTGAGTAATGATACAATTTCTGGTGTCGTCCGTTATTTGGTATGAATTGTGAGGCATATGGGACTGGAAGTGGTGCCAAATTGTGCCAACGTTTGCAATGCCTTTGACTTTAATCTTTATATTTAATTAATTGTAATTTGATATTCAATGAGATTTATATTTTCACAGATAAAATTCATTAAAAAAAATTTTAAAACATATTAATAATTAATTTTGAGATAAAGTGTGGGAAACGGATGTTTGTAGTTAATTAATTTTGAATGTTTTTAATTTTTAAAATTTTTGTTAAAAGATTTGCAAATTTTTAATAAATGCAATAAATTGTTTTTAGTTACCTATTTTTGTAGAGTAATGATAATTAATTATAAATGTGTTTATTATGTAGTTATTTGTTGTTTGTTTTTTTGTCACTCTTAGTCTTTAAGCCTTAAGGTGCAGAAATTGTGATTACAATACTATACAATAAAATTAGGATCAAAAATAATTATCGCTTAATTAAAAAAAATACTCATTTAACAGTAGTTTTTGAAAAAAATTAAAAACAAATTAAATATCAGAGAATATTCTTAGAGGAAGAAAGCATTTTTTGTTAAAGAATTTTGATTTTATTTATTATTTTAGTTTTGTTTTGCGTCTAATAATGAATGAACTCATTGTGTGACATAAATATAATTTTTGGTGTAATGAGAGCTAAATTATACACTAATTGGGTACCAGTGCTGCTAAATAACTAAATGTTTTTAGATTTTATCAATAACCTATTATCAGTTTAGATAATAATAATAATAATAATATTTAAGTTAATATTTATTAATATAAACTTTTTAAACAATAAATTAAATTTTGATTTATTTGATTATTTATAACCAAACAGTTTAAAACTTGATATAAAAAAGTATTGAATAACATTTATATAACAAGACATACCGTCAGTGCAGATGTTGTCTCTATAGATATGTTTGTCTGACTGCCAATAGTGCCGATGAAATGCCACAACACTTCATACACAGACACACACATACAGTATATATACATTAGACACATATATTGTCTTTTTTCATTGATACACATACTGTAACTATCAAATTATCGATAGTTTTATTTTGAAAGCTATAGAAATCACTTAATCCATAGTTTATATGGGGTTTCTTCTAATACAAATATAATAAGAAAAGTTTTTAACATTTATTTTAATCAAATTTAATTTGTATTATTATTATTATTGATGTTATTAAAAGTTGCAAAAATTATTGATATGCAATATAACTTACGGTAACAAATAAATGATTACAATGGGAGATAAGAAAAAACACTAACATTGAATTGAAACAAAATATCTATAACTTTCACTCTTAAATACAGTACTGTACTGTATATACAATATTATATAATATTATACCCAACGATAACAAATTTATGTGCCTTTTTCGGTACTGAATAAACAGTGCATCGCTTTTTATATATTATAATAAATTCAATACTGAATTTACCATAAAATTACGCTCCACTTGTAGTTTATGTGTTAAAATATATACATCTTCTTTAAGCATCTCATATAATAGTAGTTATTGCGACAAAAGAGTTAACAAAAAAAAGTATCAATATTTTTGCCATTAGTTTATTTAGACAGTAGACAAACTGGTATTCAATTTGTATATTATCTATTACTATATTGATAAATATATATACAGTATTAAAATACATCAAATTAATACATAATAATAATTATTATTTATTTAAATAAATGGAATATTCTTCAATATATATTTTTAGTTTTTAAATTTTTTCTTAATATATTTAAATTTTATTTATAATGATAATAATTGTTTATAATTTATAATAATAATAATAATATATACATAAAAAATTAACAACAAACCAATAACAGAATAGTATTGTTTTATCAAATATTACAATAAATGTATGGTTTTTAATAATAATAATAATAACTCTATATTAACAATAAATATCACCAAAACATCAATTAAATGACTCGAATATTAAGAGAATTCTATATTAAGTTTTATATTAATTTATTTATTTGTCTGTTATTTAGTTTGAAAAATTGTGAAAATAATTTGCTTAAAAATATTTTAATAAATAAAAATTGATTTAAAAAACAATAGCAGTAGTAATAATAGTTTTAAAATAAGTTTAACAACAAAAACAAATAATGATAAAATTGGATTTATATTTATAGATATATATATATGTATGTATATTAGAGAAATTGATATATAATAAGAAATATTATATATTATTAATTAAAATTTATATAATGAGATAATATGAGAAAATAAAATTGACATTCACTCACATTTTAAAATAATGTGCATTTTATCGTATTTTGTATCAATCTATCGATATTTTTGACGACAATATTTGTTTTGAAAATCTTTGGTCTAAATATAGATTTCGTTATATTGGTAGACAAACTATTGAACATCAATTGTAAGCCTAAAAGCCATAAAACAATAATAAACTACTCAATAGTATTGTATACAATGTTTAGTAATTTGTAGAGAATATTCTGTAAATATATATATATTCAATATAATAGACATTTAAGAGATGATAATCTGTTTGTTAAGTTTGTAAGTCACAGATAAAACTCGGGCGATGAGGGCGTACTACTGGCCGAAACACTCGATAGAGAGCCACCCGAACAGTCATTATTATTATGACGGCTTGTGTTGGCTTGAGTTGTGGTCGTATTATTTGGTGTCGATGTGACAGATATTTGCTGACTTTGACTCGTAGTCTGACTAATACCTGATTGTTGTTGTTGTTGTTGTTGTTGTTGTTTGACAGTGATCTGGTAATAGTCTCTTTCCTGGCAGACCTTGTCATAGGCCTGTCTGAGTTTGTCAAAGCCGAGTCTGAGTTTGTCGTTTTCATCTCTCAATTTGTCGCATTCGTACCGATATCTCGACAACTCGTTGATCTGTAGTCTGAGTTTGGCCTCTAAATCATGTCTTTGTGCCAAACGTTTAGTCCGACAGTTCTGAGCGTATCCGCGATTCTTAAGTGTTCTTCTTTTTTGTTTCATTTTAATCACATCTTCGCGGGGAAAGCCGTGAAGTTTTTTGTTAAGCTCTCGAACCGTCAGATTAATGAGTTGTTCATCATTTAGCCCATCGCCGCCCTTATGGCCACTACTTGTGTACACATTATTACAATCATTAGTACTGCTGTTACTATTGCTGTGATGAGTAAAATGATTGCTATTATTAGTATTGTGACCACCGATGCCGTGACTGTGAAATGAGTGATGAATTTGTGAGTTTGAATGATGTGAGTGTCCGTTATGTAACTGATTGTTCTGTTGCTGGTGTTGTGGATGCATATCGAGTGAGTTGTTGACCAGATTAGAGTTAGCCATAGTTTGCATAAGTCTGCTATGCATTGCTGGCGACTGCATCTCCATATACTCGGCCCGTCTCATGTTTGGCGACAGCCACGGGTTCTCCATTTCAGGCCCGCACTGACCTCTCAGATCAAGTGGTCCTTCTTGACCACCAATGAGACCATTGCCATACCTGAGCTGTTCCGTAAGCCATGGCATAGAAATTCCATTGCTATCATCTAACAGTCCGTTATGTTTCTTACAGTTCTCGAGAGTCGCCTGAGTCATACTTCCTGTATAAGCAGGTGATGGTGGCAGTGAATTACCGGTTCCCGGCGGTGAAGTGGCATTACTAGGAGTACTCGCATTATTAGCGGCCAATGCAATCTGTTGTTTACGATGATCGGGTAGACCTCCGTTGACCATAACGTTGTGAACGAGTCTTAATTGTTGATCGTTTGGGCAGTTTTGCGATGAGTTAGCATTACTATCATTCAATTGTCGACAGTTGTGAGTTGTGTTATGATTTGCGGCCGCAATCTTAGCCGTCTCTAGTTTGACCACTTCCTCGAGATGTTCGAGATCTAGACTGGAGAGGTCGTGGACATAATCTTCGGTATTCATGGCGCCTGTATCTGAGTCCATAGCCAATGAAGGATATATAACACTTAACACTGTGGCTGATGTGGGACTTTGTGCACAACACTTGTCTTAACGACTCAGTTGTTACACACTATTCTCCTGACGCTTATGTATGAGCGATGCCTAACACTTAATTCAACGCCAATTGTTTTTTACATATTATTGTTATTATTATTATTGTCTTCAGTTAGCTCTCACCACAAGTTTGACGACAGTTTAGCTCAAACTAAGTAACGCATAGAAGAGGATAGAGAGAGAAGAGTGAGAAGAAAAGAAAAGTTTTTTGGATCAAAATAGACTGGCCTTGTATTGCAAGTCTAGTGTCGGAGTTGGGAACTAACTGAGCCCAAGAATAAAGTAAAGGATATAATCATCAAAAACTGAATGAGAATTTGGTTCCATACACAAGATTTAAAGGTCTCTACAAGACTCTACAAGACTATGGGCACACCAATCAGCTCAGGGCACAGGCGGTTCTGGTGACGACACTCTCACTCGATGATCGCATTTACTTGAATTTACTGTACAAAAACTTGTATATACAATACAGCACTTACTGTACATTACAGTACACACACACACTCTTAACCAGAATTTCACTGAAGAGGACAATATCGAAGATGTGATTATGAAAAGGGAAAGGGATTTAACTCCAGTATTGTGACGTACAGTACAGTGGGCTGGCGTTCAATGTATTTGTTGCATATGTTTTGTGTTGAATTGTATGAGAAGTGCATTGTTTTACTGCTATATATACTGTATATATGATTGATTTTGATGGCAATGAGGAATCATCTCTAGTTTGTGTCATGACTTGTGTGCAAAGTTTGTCTTTAATAACATTTTATTTTTTTTTAATTATAAAAAGAGAAAAAAATATTTCACGTTTTTATAACTAACTTAAACATTGATTTTTTTTATTTTAAATAAAAATAATATATAATAAATTATTTAAACAAAAAGTCAGTTATGATATAAAGAATTTCAATACTTGTACAGTACGTTGATATACAAAATTTTGTTATCACTAAATGATAAATAAGTAACATTTAGCATATCAATTGTATATTTAATATAAAAAATTATATAATATATATAATTGCTTAATATATTTAAACTTAGGCATTGTGTGTGTGTTGCTATAAACGTTTTATTAAATAAAAAATATTTTATCTGTACACTACTACTGTATACATTATAAACTTAGCTATCACATTCACACGTTATATTAATGTTATAAAAATATAATATTAAATATAAATACAGTATAAAAGTGTTATAATAAATATGTTTTAAATAAAATATGAATCATATTATATATTAAATTAAAAATTAATATCCAAATACATCTCTAGTGATTCATTACATACTCTATGAGAGTGCGAGTGTTTGCCAACCAAACTCTCAAAATCTTTTTTTTCTCACAATAAAACACTTTGTAATAATATTTTTTAAAAATAAATGTATTTAAATAAATGATAATTTCAATCATAAGGAATATCAGATAAATTATATTTTAAGTTACTTTTAAATAAAACATTTGCTTTCAATTGTAAGCAAATTATTCATAAAACGAGTGATAAGTTTTTTTGTAGAGAACTTTATTATCAATTGTAAAGGTTTTTTGGTTTCTATTATTCATAAGATATGATAATTTTAACTCTTTTACACTTTCACTTCAATAAATATATATAACTTATATATATTTATGTTCAAAGATAACAATATTAATATTTATAGTAACATTGATATAATTTTCTGGTTTTTTATTCATTAACAACAGTGCAGTACAAATATATATATATATATATAGTATAGAGGGCTTTAGGTAAGAGGTTTGTCTAAATTATCAATTTATTAATTGTTGATAACTTTAGAGTTTCAGTTATTGCGAAACAAATAGGAAAATAAAATTGTCGTTTAATATGATATAATGTTTGTGTGTGAATGTGTTTTGGAGTCAATATCATTACATAATAGATAACTATTTTCTCGATGAATGCATTTTTCAATAAATGCCGTCAAAAGACATACCATTTGACGGATTTGTTGGACCGAATGGAAGTACATTATAAAAGGTCATTGCATTTGACTATAGCCTTACAACACAACTATATTGGCAAACACACGGCTAATACATATAACAGTTATAATAGTCTATGTTTTTTATGAAATATCATAAGCATTATGCAATCACTGGTCCATAGCTATGGCCACTTCACACATGCCATCCCTTCCCCTCACAAGACTTACAGACGCTTAACTGTAAAAAAATAACTATTATTTTTTTGAACACAACTGAAACATATTTTACTTATTATACTACCACTACTTGTGAAGGCATTACTTCCATAATCTGTTGTGTTTTTTTTGTGGACACTTGTGTTAACTTTCTGTTGTGTGTATTATGCCATTGATGTGCAACAGGAACACACAGTCTATCTATTTTTAAAAATATATGTATAAAATATGATGAAAAATAGATATTTGAAAGTTATATTACTGTCTCAATGTCCGTCTCATGTTTGGCACATTTTTATTATTATAAGATTTTACAAAATTGAATCAAACAGTAGACATAATATTTTGATGGTCTGAATAAAATGCTGTATATAAAAAAATAAGTGAATTTTTATTTTTATTCAAACATCGATTACGAATAGCTATGCCCTTACAGACAGTTTACGGACAGTTTCACAAAACAATACAAAGTTATGCCATGAGCTCAAGTCATAGAAAGTTGAGTCCAAAAATATGAGTTTCGAAAAATAAAATAACTTTTCACTTCATTTGAGATTTTTTTTTTTTGATAAAAATAACATTTATTAAAAATGTTTACACAAAAAGTAGAGTGAGAGTGTGTGTGTGTGTGTGAGAGAGAGAGAGAGAGAGAGAGAGAGAGAGAGAGAGAGAGAGAGAGAGAGAGAGAGAGATAAGTATCGTATTTATATATATTTTGACATTTGACTCTCGGATCTAACATAATTTGATAAATAATTATTTTGTAATTTTAATAAATAGTAATTGTATTGTTATAACAGTATAATTCAATGTTATAACAGTTGTTAAGTTATACAAATAATTGCCAAAAACTTTTGTCTATTTTTAATTAATAGCTATGTTTATGGTATTGGGTTATATAAGTATTGAATATTTAATATATGAATGTCTGGATGTCTATGAAAAACAGGTCCGATGAGATAAGATATGATAAACAATAGAAAAGTCATAATTTGGCACAACTTGTCATCATTTGGATGGCATTTCCAGGTGAGAGCTATCAGAAGCCATACCAACTGATTTGAAAAATGAATAACAAATCAGTGCTTTCAATACACACAACCTTTTTTTGACACAAAGCAGCCAAACATATAGATATTGACATTTCAATAGTTGTAGGCTTTTAGTAGTGTTAAGTGTGGCATAACTTTATACAAAAGTGATTCATAACATTGTGTGCGTATGTGTGTGTGTGTGTGTGTGTGTGTGTGTGTGTGTGTGTGTGTGTGTGTGTGTGTGTGTGTCGATAGTATCATTCATTCAATATATTGTATATAAACGTTTGGTTTAGCAAAGAAAAACTCACGATTTTTGTATTATATATTATATATCGGATGAATGAATCAGTTTTTAAAAGTTTTTCACCACTCATACCACTGATACCATAACCATACCATTCAAGTGATATACCAGTGATTGAAGTGATGGAAATGATCACAAACACAAACTTTATGAAACATACTCTCTCTCTCTCTCTCTCTCTCTCTCTCTCTCTCTCTCTCTCTCTCTCTCACTCACTTTCTTTCTCCCACTCACTCACTCAATACACACAAGGGGTGATCAGTTTGAAGAGCACTGGTATGAGAGTAAAGATATACACACATCTCGATTATGAATCACATCTTTGACGGCGAATGAAGTACTCAATACTGACTTCACATCTCTCTCGCAAAACAATCACTTTCTCTCAAATATACAACTTTTTGCATAAATTATGTCATTTCTCAAGTCATATACCACTATATTTCTTTCACCATTTAAAGTGTCTGATATTTTACACCAGACCTTACTTTTAGTGACTATTTACTCAGTTTTTCACTCAGTCTTTACGTTCAATTAGGTCCGACACGAACCACCACTTTTCAGACCCTAACCTACCCGTCAGCAAACCTTTCATAAAACGTTACTCCTATTTAAACAAAAAAAAGTTCATAAAAAAGTGTTACATTATTATAATATAAAAAAAAATCATTTCTATCCATTGGTTTCCTATAGTTTTTTAAGTACTTTTGTATCACATTTTCTCTGCAAAGTTATTCATTGCATCCTTTTTTTATTTATTTCTTCCTTTTATTTTTCAACAATTTTAAAATTCAAGTAATGTCTCCACTCTTTTAGCCCAACTTTGCCTTCAAACTGAATAATATACTGAAGTTTGCATTTCAAGAATTTTATGCATTTTGTAAATACTTTTTGTGTTGCATTTATTGTATGATATTTTTATTATACGCTAAGAGTTTAAATAAATTTTTAAAAATTAAGATAAAGAATTTAAATAATAGTATTTTTAATTTTATTTTGATTATAATTTCACACTTTATTAAGCTTAGGTTTATATATTTATATTTATCTAAATGTAATAATAAAAATAATAATGAACTATTTATATATGTATTTAATAAGATATTAAATATTTATAAATTTATTTATATTAAAATTTATTTATATAATATTTTCTTATTAAGTATGTTATCAAAAGTTAGTATTCATTAAATAAAATTTGTGAATCGGATGACATCAAAGTGCTGTTAACCAGAAGTGAGTCCGACCTTTCATATTGATGTTGTGCTCTGTTTTTGGGCTACAAATGGTTTGTTTGAAAAGCACTGTAATATACAGTATATATATATATATATAACGGGAGTTTTACAGCAGTGAAAGCCACCGTTTCATATGTTTGTGTGATTTAATGGCTTACAAACTCTAAAGATTTTAGTGTTAGTTAGTTATTATTATTATTGCTGTAAATAATAAGATTTAACATAAAATGTTTTACATAAACGTTTGGAAGAATCGCTGAGTTAGTGCTAATCATATGTAAATATATGAATGCTTTTTAAATATATTGTCTATAAGTTATTGGTGTCGGTATTCGCCCACTAAAAGAATGAAGTGTTTGTCCAATTTATGTCACAACCAAATGATTGTCTAATAAAAGCCTCAAATATGTGTCTAAAATACCTTTATTTATGACCCGTTAGCATACCATTCCTTCCTTTAAGTTTACTCTTAAGTCTCCTAACCCTTAATATAACTAAAATTCATTCAAGAATAGCCTTTTATTGAGCTCTCGTAATCCAAAGCCATATGTGTCTAACGGTTCTCTCCATTGGTATATATAATATAACAGTCAATAGTGATGTCAGATCTCTTATCTTTAACTCTTAAAATATGCCAAAAGTAAACCTAAAATAAAAATATCTTAAAACTTTTTTTCTGCATATTTCTCGATCATTGCTTTATTATATATATATATATTCTGTTTGCTTACAAAACAAACATTTTATTATTTTCAACATATCTTTTATCATAATTTCACTAAAAATGTCAAGTTTTTAGAGAACCAAACTATACGACAACAAAATTAAACATTTATGTGTTTTATGAATATATGTAATTTTCAGT